GTCCAGACTGAACTCCCTGTCTCAAAAAGGAGAGAGAGAGAGACAGAGAGAGACAGAGACAGAGAGAGACCACTTCAAGGTACGTCTCTGCCATCACTGGCAGACAGAACGGGCAGACCGAGTCCAGATCGCAGCCGATTTACCCAGCAAGCCAGCCGGAGCTCTCCTGCAGGGCGTGGGGTGGATGACCCCAGCCAGCCTGCATCTTTAGTTCCACTGGGGTTCAGGCTGGTTTCTGCTGTGAGGCTGGAGCCCCATTCATTCAGCCTGCACCACTCTGTGCCTCCTGCCAGCGTAAACTCGGCTCCTTGAGCGTCTGCCCATTTAAACTCTTTCTAGGCCCCCCTGACCCGGAGCCACTGGACAGAGCTGGCTGAAGCTGCTCTGAGGTCGAGCTCAGACAACTCACTCAAAGGCAGATTAGCCAGGACAATTAACTGAACTCAGATAATTCACCAGCCCCTGTAGTCCTCTGCGCCCACTGCACAGTTCATGGGTGCATTTCTCTGCAGAGGCCTCTGGGTCGCCAGTGGTCACCCTGTGTCTGCAGGTTTGAGGCACTCTCCTGTGAATGGAGTCAGGGCTGGGGAGAAATTGCCGCTTGCCTCCTCCTTTCTTTGGTTCTTTTGTGTTCTGCTGCTGGTTTATCATCTTTTCAAGTCACCCTCCCTGACTCTCCATGCCAGTGTTCGTCAGGAAGGACTGGAGGATAACCCTCATCAGCACTATGCTTCTGTTTTTCTTTTAGTTTTATTTTTTGGAAATAGGGTTTTGCTGTGTATTCTAGGCTGGTCTTGAATTCACTGTCTCATTTTGTAGTTTCTTTTTTTTGTGTGTGCACTTTGTTTTGCTTTTTGTTGGGACAGGGTCTAGGCTCTCCCTACATAGTCCAGGCTGGCCTCAAAGTCTAATGATTCTGCTTCAGTCTCTCAAGTGCTGAGGTTACAGGCACACTGCCATGCCAGATATATTCTTGTGTTTCACAGACCTACATGTATGTCCAGAAACTGGTCAATTTTTATAAATAACTTTCTCACATGACTATTTAAAAATTACCACTGTTGTCCTTGGACTGACCGACTTATTTGGATCTCTCCAGCTTTACAGAATCGATTGCTTTGTTTGTCAAGTATACCAAGTTACCCTCCTGGCAGCCCTTGCTGTCTGTCCCATGCAAAGGCCATGTGTTGTGGGTTGTGGGGTATCCTGAAGGGGAGACTGGTGCTCCTTTACCTGGGGTCCCTGGGATATCAATAGTTTTTAACTATATGTATCTTTTTTTGGTGTGGGGCGATGGAGATTGAACCCAAACTACATATATATATTGGTACCAGAGATCAAACTCATGACCTTGCACTTGCCAGGCAGGCACTTATGCCGCTGAGCTAAATCCCTGGTAAAACCAGTTATGTTTTTTATTACTTCAGCAGGGGTTTCCCACACCACAAAGTCAGATACCACTAAGAAAAGGTCCAATTCTGCCCAATTCTTGCAGTGTGAGCTCTCACTGCACAATGCACTGTGACAGCCATCATCTTGCCTTCTGTCCTGTCTGCCCCACAGGGACAAGTGTCCCACATGCACTGGACACCAGACACTCCAGCCAGGACAGAGGATGGTGAAGGAGGGGACAGCAGGACATCTGTGCTGCACAGTGAGGGACGAAGACTTGGTTGGGCAAGGAGGGTGACAGCCTAGGTAGGAAAGACCTGTGGGAGAAGCTTGTACAGAAAAAGGCCTGGGACAAGCAGTCTTTTGTTTTCGTTGAGACAGGGTCTCACTATGTAGCCTAGGCTGGCCTCAAATGGCGATACTCCTGCCTCAGCCTCCTGAGTGCTGAGATTACAGGCGTGTACCTAGTGGACAAACAGTTTTTAAGCAGTGGCTTTTAAGTTCCAGAGCAGCAGTAGGGAGAAGGGTAAGGGTTGTGGTCAGGTTGCAATGCCTCTGAGTTCAGGTGAGTGTGCTCAGGACACACTGTTGAAATCTACAAAGGGTTTAGTCTTAAACATGGAAATAGCAGTTATCTGTTGTGAATGTGAAAAAAATACATGTTCATCATAAACAATGTCAAGAGAATTCAAAAGATGTGTAAAGGCATTTGGAGCATCCATAATCCTCCTACCCATTAAGTACCAGTGTGTCCCATGGTGGCGCTTCTGGCTTGATATATATTCTATGGGTTTTATCCTCTGCACACTGGGTTTTCAAACATGGCAGAGGTCAAGCTGCCCTCTTTCATCCTTCAAGCCCCACGTCCTACAGTGTACATGGTTTGTTATACAACCCTGACCCCCGATCGTGCCACGGGAGCTTTAAGGACTTTTAGCACCATGTTCCAACCTTTTTCTTCTCACACACAAGAGCCGCAACATGGGAGACTTCACCATCAGTTATGAATGATTCCCTGCCACCCGGTATTCTGAGTTTCTTGGCTTTCTTTCCAACAAAAAGCCTGCCTTCTCCACTTTTGTGCTGAGTTCCACTTTCCCAGGATATTCAGGAGCTGGCCACCTCCATGGCCTCTCTCAGTTTCCCAGCTATCAGTACTATAGACAAGCGAGGCTGAACATAGGAAGCAGCCACAGAGGAACTGGGCCCAAGATACAGTCAGGATGACCAGATCTTAGTCAGGTAAGCAGAAGCCTGAGGTCAAGTGTTAACAAGAACCAGGTGAACACTGAGGGTGTGGTGGCACATGCCCATAATCTCAGCACTTGAGAGGCTGAGGCAGGAGGATCACTGTGAGTTTGAGGCCAGCCTTGACTATATAGTGAGTTCAAGGTCAGCCTGAACTGCACAGTGAAATGCTCTCAAAAGAAAAAAAAGAGAGAGAGAGAGAGAAAAGAATCAAGTAAACAATTAGGTCCAGAAATGGAACAAGCTAGATAACAAGTGGCCACTAGGGTAACTTCTGCTCCTATCTGGAAAACATTTTTCTTTTTCACTTTGTTCTTTTAATAAATCATATAGATAAGATAGAGAGCAAGACACTACAGACTTATGCTTCCTCCATTCCTCTACTCCCCACAGGTCTAGTTTAAGTTCACTTTTGTCCTATAGGTTGACCTTAGTATGACATGGAGTAGTCTGAGCCCTGGTCATTTTTGGTTTGCAAAGTCCTAGACAAAAAGTCCCCTTGGCAACACATAGGGAGCCTCTGAAGCTGGAGATTGATCACCTGTGGAGCTGAAAACACAGAGCTCAAAACAAGCCAGGTAAACAAACTGGTCCAGCTCCAAGAAGGCAAAGGACCCAGGCCAAGTAGGCAAACAAGTTGCTAGGCAGTGGGGCTGAAATTGACATCTTTGAGTGCATAAACAAACATCTCACTCACTAGGAGACAGGGCTCCACCTGACCTCAGCTTTCATCTCTTTTCTGTTCTTGTCCTCTCTCACTATTCTCAAACTTGGGACTTTGTCCTTGCCAAGCAGGTGCTTATGCCACTGAGCTATATCCCCAGCCCTGATATACTTTTTTTTTTTTGGTACTGGGGATCGAACTCGTGACCTTGCTCTTGCCAGGCAGTCGTTTACATCACTGAGCTAAATCCCCAGCCCTCTTTTGGGGTCTTTTTTCCAGGCAGAGTTTTACTACATGGTTCAGGCTGGGCTTGAACTCACTCTGTAGCCTAGGCTGGCCTCAAAGTTGCAGCGATGCTCTTGCTTCAGCCCTGAGTGCTGGGATTACAGGCATGTGCTACTGCACCCGGCTAATCTACTTTCATTTTTAAAAAATCATTGTGTGACTCCTCTGTCACAGTGGACTCGAACCTCAAATTTCTGTGGCCACATATATGTAAATCCTTGCTGTCCCAGCCAGTTACATCAGCATTTTTTTCTGATTTGTTACATCAGAGATTTTTTTTTGTTATTGTTTTTGACACAGGGTCTCCTCATGTAGTTCAGGCTGGCCTTGACCCTGTGATGGGTCTCCTGCCTCAGCCTCCGAGTGCTGGGATTATGAATAAACGCCAGTACACCCATCTTTTCTGACAGTTCTTGCACTCAGCTGCGATCTCCGATGTAGTACCCGTGGTCTTCTCGAGGCCACCATCCCGCTTTCATGGCTCACACTATTCAGCCTCGATTCCAATCATCGCCATTCCCTGCTCTCCCACTCCTGTTGTATGCCCTTAGCACAACACCGGCTCACTTCCTATTCTTTTTTTTTTTTTTTTTTTTTAATCGGTACCAGGGATCGAACTCACGACCACGCGCTTGCAAGGCAGGCGCTTATGCCGTTGAGGTAAATCTCCAGCCCCTCACTTCCTGACAGCTGGACATGGCTGGAGAACATAAATACGACGACTAGTTTCATCGTAACATCACAATCGCAGTCCCAAAACAGGTCGCAGTGCCTGCAAACAAATCCATACAAGGACCTGGCCAACTCGCCCTTCCACTCGTCCTTTCGCAAGTACACTACTCTGGTTCTCCCAACCCTTCCTTTCTCTTGGAGACGGATCTTGCTTTGTTGTCCTGGTGAATCTCAAACTCCAGGCTCAGAAGTCCTCTTGGCTCTGCCTCATAGCCAGGACTACAGCGCCACTGCACCGGCCCTTCTAATATTTTCACAACTTTACTTAAATGGTAAATTCTGAAGTGTTCTCCGAGGCAGTGATTACTGTCCAGCGAGCTTGCGGAAGGGAGATCACTTAGACGTTGTGGCTCTTGCTAGAGTGACAGCACGGTTGTAAGACCATCGATGGGTCTCCAGTAACGGCGTTTAGGCGAGTCTAGGGAGAGAACAGATTCGGGGTTGCAAACGGAGTAAGTAACCGGCAGAGACGCCAGCAAGACCAAGATTTTACACCCAAAGCGCAGGAGCTATGCGAGGGTAGGATCCGGCGCAGCACTTTGTGCGTCACTATTGGAGCTGGCGCGGGCGCTGTGACGTTGTTAGACGTCGGCGTTTTGTAGGGCGTCGGGTAGGCGGCAGCGTTAGAAAAGAGGGCAATACTCTCCAGCACACCACGGAGGCCGGCGCAGCGTTGCCCATTTGACTCGTGTTGTCTATTGAGCTGCGCCTCTTGAGAAGATCGCGCGCCTTAGGGGCGGGGCCGCGGGGAGGTCTCGTCGTGTGTTTGCTCACGCTGTGCCACTGTCACTTCCGCTTCGTCGACTTCCGGCCGCCGCCATCTTGCTAACGCGGAAGTCTCCGAGTGGTAGGAGTCCGGGCCGGGGCGCGGACTGTGCGGCTGGCGCTATGCCGTCGTCGCCTCTACGTGTGGCGGTGGTGTGCTCGAGTAACCAGAACCGAAGCATGGAGGCGCACAATATCCTCAGGTAGTAGGCTGTCCTTGCAGCGTCCCGACCCGCCCTGTGCTAGGCGCCTCGCGAAGGCCTCGAGGGCCGGGCCGCGTCCCGTGCGGGTCCCAGGGACCGGGGTCGCGGGAAAGTCGGTGTAGGAACCGAAATTCCGCGATGGTAGGAGTCTCGACCCGGAGGCCCGTAGGGAAGAGGCTGTCGCGCGGGCCATTGCGGGCGAGATCTCGTGTCCGCCAGTGTCGTCGGGCCGGGTTCACTGCGGAGCTCGCGCCGCGTCGCTCCAAGACGGGATGGGTCTGGGAAAACCATGGCCTAGTATGTGGATGTCTTGAATTTGTGCATTTGCTGTTGTGTACATCTATAGCTGTTCCGCAAAACCCCACTTCCTCTAAAAAAGAAATAATTCAGTAGTTCCTGGAACTCAGGAGTTGGGTTTGGCGGTGCTCGGTGGTATTTGTTACTAATTTACGTCTCAGTGACTGCTGTTCGTGCTTCGTAAAAGTTTCTTCCTATTTGGCACAGTTGTTTTGGTACAAGTGGTGGTGGTGGTTCAAAATTATTTAACAGAAGGAGAAATTGACGTTTCTATTACAGTTAACATTTGGTGTAAATGTCACGTTTTTAAGTTTCGTTTTGTCTTTTGAAAAAGGGTCTCGCTGTGTATTTCAGGCTGGCGTTGGTACTTACTGCGTAGCCCAAGTTAGCCCTAAAACTCAGCCTCGGCCAAGCTGAGATTAGAGGTGTTGTCCACCACGCCTTACAACCTTTTTTTTTTTTCCTAGTCATTTTCGATGGTAAAGCACTGTTGAAACAGCTTTTTCTCGAGTTTTTACACATAAACTTTAAAGGGAAACAATTGTTCCTTATATTGGGGTTCTGGTGATGAGTGACTTGGGAAAAATAGGCGCTTACTCCTTTGATTTTTTTTTTTTTTTTTTTTTTTTTTGAGACAGAGTCTTACTGTGTAGTTCAAACTGGCCTTGAATCACTACGTAAGCCAAGTTGGCCTCGACTTTGCCGCTATCCTCCTGAGGTTCCTCCCTCAGCCCCTTGAGTGCTGGAATTACAGGTGTCTGCCACCACCATGACTGGGTTTCTCTCTTATTTTTACAGACGCTGGAAATAGCAAGTATCTGTCATCTGCTAAATTTTTTTGAGGCAGTTTCTCTCAATGTAGTTGACACTGGACTTGAATTCACTATGTATCCCAGGTTAGCCTCAAACTCTCAATCCTGCCTCTCAGACTCCGAGTGCTAGGATAACAGGCGTGCCACCATGCCCAATTGTACCTTATGTTTATCACACAAAAACATTAATTTATCAGGGTGTGGTGGTGCATGCCTGTAATCCCAGCACTCAGCAGGCTGAGGCAGGAAGGTTGTTGAGAGGTGAGACCAGCCTGGGCTACAAAATGAGCTCAAGGCCAGCTTGAACTGCATAGTGAGACCAGTCTCAAACAACAACATTCACTTAGTAACTTTTGGGGGGGGATAGATTGTGATATCCTTTGAATCTAACAAATAAATGTGATGACTGTGTTTATTTATATTTTGTCTCTTTGAGACAGGGTCTGTCTGTGCAGTTCAGGCTGGCCTTGAGCTCACTTTGTAACCCAGGCTGATCTCAAACTTGCAGTGATCCTTCTGCCTCAGGCTCCTGAATATTTATTCATTTTTTTATTAGGACTGCTTTTAAAGTAGAACTGTGCTAAAGTTACATTGTGCTGGGTCTGTATTGGTAAATGCATTTGGGTGCTAAACAGCATTTGTGCTGGGTGTGGTGGTACATACCTGTGGTCCCAGCTCTCCAGAGGGTGAGGCTTATGAGTTTGATGTGGAATACATATTGAGACCATGTCATAAATAATCCATTATAAATCTGATACAGCATGCAAGATTATACCCTTGGGAATATTACCCAAGGCAAACAAAATTTAGTATTTAGTTGTTCGGGAGACCTACTGGTAATTCTTTTTAAAACTTTTCTGTTATGTTTTCATGATACAGTCAAAATGGAATCCTTCAAAGGGTATCTTTTATTTTTGGCTAGGTGTGGTAGTGGGCATGATAATCCTAGCACTCTGGGAGGCTGACACTCCCATCCAGGAAAAGTAATATCACCATTATTGGGGAGACAAAAGCCTTGGGTTTAATCCGAAGTAACCCTCTCTTTTCCAAAGAAACCCTGCAAGCTTGTTAGGTAGTTTTTTGTATCGATACTGGGGCTCAAACTCAGGATGTCATTAACACTAAGCTTTATCCTCAGCCTGTTTTATTTTTATTTTGAGACAGCCTCTTGCTGACTTGTCTATGCACAACTCAAGTTTCTATTCTTCTGCATCAGTCTCCCTTAATGCAGAGGTTACAAGTTTTTCCTATTCTGAAATATGTTGAAGTCATGCCCATCTTGTGCATCTTAAGACAGTTGCTGAAAAAATCCTTATTTAGAGGCTGTATTTGACACAGCAGTGTCTCCTTTAAAGAGGTATGGGATGGTACAGAGGAGTTCCTCTCAGTAATCATTAAATGAAAATAGAGTATTTTTTCTTTTTCTTTTTTTTCAAACTCATCTTTTTCATAGATAAAAAGGAAGAAGAAAAAACTGCAGAAGTATATCAGTCAGTGGGTAACAGTGGTACAATCAGTATACATTGTCATCCCCAAATCCTTCACTCAGAGAACAAGACATCAGCCTTCAATTAATTAGAGTATTTTTAAAAATGACAACTAATACAAAAAACCTTAATGAAAATAATTATATGTGTAAAGGTGTCACTATATACTGGCCTCAAACCTTTAGTACTGCCTCAGCCTCCTGAGTTCTAGGATTGCAAGTGAACCACCTGGGAGGCCAGGGGTGATATTTGTGAGAAATGTCACTGTAGAAAATGAGGAGAATGAAGGTCACATATGAAATACTGTTGGCTGCTTTGCATCTGATATTGTGACTGTTTTAGCTTTCAGTGTCATTTGTTTTGGTATCCTGAATTTTATTTTATTTTTATTTTTATTTTTGGGGTTTTTTTTTCAGACAGGATCTTACTGTGTAGTTCAGGCTGGCTTTGAACTTGCAGCTAACCTGGTGCCTCAGCCTCCCAGGTGCCAGGATTACCAGTATGCAGCACCACACTTGGCCTGAATTTTAGTGTATTTATTCACCTTGAGTTAGGAATGTGGTTACTGGGCCCGGGGTTTAGCCCAGTGGCATAAGCACCTGCCTGGCAAGTGTGAGGTTGTGAGTTCGATCCCTGGTACCGCCAAAAAAAAAAAAGAAAAGAGAGGTGACTTCCGGGAAAACATGGCGGACAGATAACAGCAACTACCGGAGGCTCTCTGAAAGACTCGGCTCAGAAGCCAGGAATGGTGCGGACTAAGGAGACATAAGCAGGTGGAGATATGCTCCGCTGACTCAGGAACGAACTGGGCTGAGAGAAACCAACTTGGAATGCATTGCTGGTGCTAAAACAGGAACAGAAAAGCCTCGGTGTGGAGGCCAGACCCCGCGCCATTGTAAGCCGTGATTTGGGTTTCCCGCCGCACGGCGGCTGGCTGCCTCTACAGTGGCTCGGCAAGGAGAGAGACGCGCAGAAGCTCTGAGAACAGAAATCTGCGAACGGCAGGGAGGCGTGCACTGACTTGTGGTGAGGTGAGTGAGAGAAGCTGACACTCTACCACAGTTTGACTCCAGCGGAGGACTTTCTGGGTCCGAGCAGTCCTGCGGGAGCGGGGCGCGGTGGCGACTCCAGCCACACATCCCCCTCTCGGGCGGGATTGGTGAAAAGTGCCTGGCCTGCGTGACGCTGCCGGCGGACCTGGTAGACTGTCCCAACCCAGATCCCAGAGCCTGACGGTGGCCGGGAGGGGAGACGCGTAGGCTGCCTGGTCCGTAACTCCCTGGTGCGCAGCGGTGAGCGGGAACACCTAACTGGCGCAATTCGATCAGGCTGTGGCTGACTGGGAGAGAAGCTGGGCCTCTTATATAAGCTTGCATATATAAGGAACAGAGAAGAAGAGGCAGCATGGGAAGAGGCAGCAACAAGAAAGGCTCCTCGGCCCCCAATTCTGAGAAACAGGCAATAGCAGACACCGCACCAATATACATAAGGCACCATATAGAGAGCCTCATAGACCAATTCAGGAATGAAGTTATCAACGACCTGAAGCTAGAAGTATGCAGAATAGTTAGAGAAATGCTAAGTACCACCCAAGAAAAAACAGGCGGTGGAATGGAAGAACAGAAAAAAAGGGGAGAATTGTTTGATGGAGAAAACAGAGAAAGCATAGAATACGTGAAACAGGTTCAAAGGGACTACCAAGATACTAAGAAGTCTATAGAAGACTGGCATAACAGCTTGAAAGAAACTAAGGACAGACTATCTGAACTGGAGGGCAGACTTGTAATATGGGAGAATGAAATGAAAAACTTCTTAAAAATAACAAAAAAACAAACAGCAATAATACAAAGACAAGAAGATGATAAGAGGATCCATAACTTAAGGATTAAGAACATAAAAGAAGAAGTAGGGACACAAACGAGTGAACTACAAAAGCTACTCACAGAAATAATCCAGGAGAATTTTCCTAATTTAGCAAAAGGTAAAGATACTCAGATGTATGAGGCATACAGGACCCCAGCTACCTACAACCCAAACAGAGCAACACCCAGGCATATAATAATAAAAATTCCAGAAATTCAATACAAGAACAGAATATTAAAAGCTGTAAGAGACAAGAAACAGACCACTTACAAGGGAACACCCATCAGAATTACAGCAGATTTCTCTGCACAAACCATCAAATCACGAAGAGCGTGGGGGGAAATAATTCAAGCTTTGAAAGATAATAATCTCCAGCCAAGATTGAGATATCCTGCACAACTGTCCCTGGAAATTGATGGAAAAACAAGGTGCTTCCAGGATAAAGAGGAACTGGGGGAATTTGCAACCACCAATTCAACTCTACAGAGAGTATTGCAGGATATTCTAAAAAAAGAAAAATACAAAGAATCCAGAAATAATG